TTTTAGGGTCGTCATAGGCAGAATTCTAAAGATGGCAGCATGAGATTCCTGTTTCTTGGTTATTCAACCAAAGATGTGTCTAGGTAAGGCTGTGTAAGGGTTTTGTTGATGTTGTTCAAGTCCCAATTCAGTTAACTTTAGAATAAAGGGATTATCTGGGTGGGCCTGACCCAATCAGGTGAACTCCTTTGAAAACAGAGTCTTTCTCCAGCTGGTAGCAAAAGAGAAAGTCAAAGAGATTCAAAACATGAAAAGGACTCAATACACTGTTGTTCTTTTGAAGAAGCTAAGGACCACATGAGAAAGAATGCAGGCAGTCTCGAGAAGAAAGCTACCCTCACTGAGGATGGGAAGAAAATGGAAACCTCATAACTACACCCTAAGCAAGTAGACTCTGGCAACAAGAAGAATGAGATTAAAGCAGATTCTTCCCCAGCCTCCCGATACGAATCCATCCCAGCTGACACCTGACTTGGGTCTTACTGGACCCTATACAAGGAATCTAGTGGAACCCTCCTGGACCTCTGACCTATGGAAATCATGTGATTATTTGCTACGCAAAAATAGAAATGTAATGGAAATGACTAAATAGCTATATTATGGATCATATGAATGGAAGGCACTGTTACTTGTACAGGAATATTCCACGTATTTAGTTAGAAAGTACTCTTCTCCAAGAACTGTGATATGTGATGAGAATACAACTCTTTCTATTTCTCTAATCAAAGACAGCTTATTGCATTTATCTAATTCTTAGTGTCTTCTTTAAAATCATGGAGATAATCGGGGTGCCTGGGTGGCTCAGTTGGTTGAGTGTCCAACTTCGGCTCGGGTCATGATCCTGCAGTTTGTGAGTTAGAGCCCCGCGTCGGGCTCTGGGCTGACAGCTCAGAGCCTGGAGCCTGCTCCAGATTCTGTGTCCCTCTCTCTCTCAGCCCCTCCCCTGCTCTTGTTCTGTCTCTCTCTCTCTAAAATCATGGAGACAGTCTTATGTCACAGAATGCATTTTTAAAATAAATAATAAAATAAACCTCAATCAGTGAAAGTATCTGTCCAAAACTTGATGCAATGAACATCAGCTTCCCTAAAGGACCATGTTAGAAAGAGCACAGCTCTCAGAACCAAACTATCTGGATTCATATTTTGTATGAGTCTCAATTTCCTTATCTATAAAGTGAAAATAATGCCTGTCCTCTCTATTTCAGAGATTTTTGTTAGGATGATGTGTCTGCGAAAGTTGACCATACAAAAGCAAGATATCTTTTAGCTATATTTAGTAGCAGTGGGGAAGGTTTTCATGGACCAGACTCATGCTTTCTGCCTTTACCATGTGACTGGGCAGCTGAGTTGACCAAGAACCAAAGAAGAAAAGAGAGCAGAATCGAACACCATATAAATAAGAGCTGCATGGCATTTGGACCCTACTTACATGTTCAGAGACCCACATGCATTTTTATGCCACCCTATACTCTCACACTGATCCCTTAGCAAGTGGCCCGTTCAGCTGAAGAAAGGGATTCTTTTATTTTTTATGTTTTTCTGTGCACAGACGTGGTTTGCTCTCATATACTCTTAAATCCTAAATCCTGGTGCACTGCTTCATCTGCCCAGAAGGGGCATCTTTCTCTTACTTGCACAACACTTAAGGTAGGCTAAACAAAAAACAAAACACACACACACACACACACACACACACACACACACACACATATACATATATTATTTTAAACTATAAGCTTCTAGGGGCACCTGGGTGTCTCAGTCCCTTAAGCCTCTGATTTGATTTTGGCTAAAGTCATGATCTCAAGGTCATGAGATTGAGCCTCACGTTAACTCTGTGCTGAGCATGGGGCCTGCCTGACAGTCTCTCTCTCTTTCTCTCTCTCTCTTTCTCTCCCTCTCTCCCTCTGCCCTTCCTCCCACTCACACAACTCTCTCTCTCTCCAAAATTTAAAACAAAACAAACAAAAAACCTTCTAAATGTCATTCCATAGAGCACTAAGCTCTTCCAAAACTTATATTAAGAAGATGTTTAGAAACCTGATTTCATTTCTGCAAAAGACAATGTCAAACAAATGAGTAAACAACAAACTGGGAGAACATATTTGTAAAATGCACATCTGATGAAGATCCCTTAAAGTTTACTTATAAGAAAACAAAACCTAATTAAAAAATGGGCCAAGGACCTTAACAGACCCCTCATCAAAGAAGACATACAGAGGGCAAATGAATGTATGAAAAGATGTTCCACATATATGTCATCAGAGAAATATAAATTAAAGCAACAATGAGATACCACTACATACCTGACAAAAACTGGCCCAAATCCAGAAACACTGACAACAGCAAATGCTGATGAGGATGTAGACCAACAGGAACTCTCATTCATTGTTAGTGGGAATGCAAAATGGCACAGCCACTTTGGAAAATAGTTTGTCAGTTTCTTACAAACCATATACACCCTTACCATATGATCCAGTAAATTCACTCCTTGGTAACTACCCAAAGAAATGGAAAACTTTTGTCCGTACAAAAACCTACAAATAAGTGTTTATACTGTAGTGGTTTTGTTCATGATTGCAAAAACTTGGAAACAACCAAGGTGTCCTTCAGTACCTGAATTGATACACAAACTGTGGCACATCCAGACAATGGAATGCTATTGAGTATTAAAAAGAAATGAGCTATCAAGCCATGAAAAGACATGGCAGATTCTTAAGTGTGCCTATATTACTGAGGGAAAAAGCCAATCTGAAAAGGCAACTTACTGTATGATTCACACTCTATGACATTCCAGAAAAGGAAAAACTAAGGAGCCAATAAAAAGATCAGTGGTTACCAAAATCAAGGTAGAGATGGATAAGCAGTATACATGGTGTTTTAGTGCAGTGACAATACTACGTATGATACTATAATAATGAATACGTGCCATCAAACCTTTGTCTAAACCCAGGGAATACCAAGAACGAAACACGTTAAACTATAGACTTTGCGTGATTATGATGTGTCAATGTAGGTTCATCAGTTGTGACAAATGTATCACACTGGCGGAGGATGCTGATAATGAAGGATGTCATACATGTGTAGATGTGGGGTCTATTTGGGAAATCTCTGTCCCTACCTCTTAATGTTGCTGTGGACCTACAACTGCTCTACCAAAAAATAAAGCCTTAAAAAAATCCAGTTTATAAAAAGCATCGAGTACATTTCCGAAACAGAATATATTAGTAAATACTTTGGTAATGTGGCTGAATTTAAAGTTACTGTTTAAGAACAACTGTAAATGGAAGGGCCCCCAGTGATATTTAATAAGGCACTTATGACAAGCAACCAGTGAGTGCATGAATGTGCACTTCCCGAAACAGTCTCCAGTATGGGTATGAAGTCCTCACTATTTCTCACTCCTTCTACATACCCATTTATAATTAGGATTACATTATGTTTAGTAATGCTTATTGAGGTGCCCCTAAGGCTTTGAGCCTTCTAAAATTATCATCTATAATATCCAAGATAACACAATCTATTATACTGCTTTACTTTGTAGATAGGTATTAACCGATTTCCCATATGAAGTACTAACAAATAGCAAAAAGAAGAAAGAAAGAAAGAAAGAAAGACAGAAAGAAAGAAAGAAAGAAAGAAAGAAAGAAAAAAAAAGCACTTACTAAATATATATTTAAGATGTTACTTAAGTAAAAATGGACATTTCTTTTGGTAATGATTGCAAATAATATAATTTTCATGGTATACATATACTCATGCACATTCATAAATTAGTTTCTACTTGATACAAATATTATTTGGACTGAGGTGAGATTTAGAAAATAAAGTATGGTTTCTGATTGAAATAATTCTGGAGTAAAACTGGAAGTTATTTTAAACTAAGTTTCCTGTTTTTTTTATTTTCTATAAATATCATTTTCTCCAGGGATTCTTTCCCTCCATCTTCTCTACACAGAACCTATTCCCAAAAACCACACAACCTTTTCTGAGTCTTTTCAATGTCTTCATCACTTCTTGGATATATTAATCCATTAATTCCTTTATTTTTGCAACTGATATTGAATGAGCTCTTATCACTTGACAGTCATTTATTTGTCATTAGGTGACAAAGAACTTGTAATTCCAGTCCTAGTCTGGTTATTTTGAAAATGAAAATTAACCAGAATGATCATAAATGAACCCACTCATGTATTCTTTATAACACTCATTTAAAAGTAATTAGTGAATGCTTATTTTCAAAGAGAATATTATGCTGAAGAAAATTCTCTAAATGGGAGCCACTTGAGCTAATTTTGCAGATGTAAAAACATAAAAATTCAGGCAGAATATAAAAAGCTGGGGTAGTCTAATTATTGATTGGTAACGGGGGACATTATAAAAGTGCATAAACCATAAGGAGCTATCACCCCACACCCACTAGAATGATTATAATCAAAAGATACATAACAATAAATATGGGTAATAATATAGAGAAATTGGACCCTCCTAGTGCTTTTGGGAATGCAAAATGTAGCTGCTTTAGAAAACAGGCTGGCAGTCCATCAAATAATTAAATACAGAGTTTCCATATGACTGAGCTATCTCACTTCCGGGTATATACCCCAAAGAAATAAAAATGTGTCTACAAAAAACTTTCAAATGAATGTTTATAGCGGCATCTTTGATGTTAGGCAGCTGTGCAACCCACAGAACAAGCCTCATGACTAGGAGGCAAACCAAATACTCTGACTCAAGGATGGGGAAGGAGTGTCCTGTGATGTCAATCTTCCACCAGTACGCTAGGATTAAAGTAAAAAAAAAAAAAAAAAAAAAAAAAAAAAGGTATGAGATTTATTCACCACATCTGACAATGAGTAACTGCCTCTAATACGTTCTATACGCTCTGCTAGATGCTGGCACCACAAAGAGAAATGGTGAGAGCCCTGCACCCGAGAAAATCTCGGTAGAAATCGTCATGTACAAGTGACATCTTTTTTAGGACACGTAAAGTAGCTTACCAGTTTCTGAAGCAGCAACTGTGATGTTGTACCACGGAGTTTCTTCTCTATCAAGAACCTTTGTGGTTCTGATGGTTCCAGAATTGGCATCGATGTTGAAAACTCTGTCATCTCCGCCACTGTGGTCAATGAAGTATCTAGGGAAGGAAAGAGATAATCCTTCCTTTTACACAATGATATAATGAAGACAACAAATAAAACTAAAACAAGGGCAGTATTAAACCAGATATATTCAAATAGTAAATGCACATGTTTCGTTTCTATATTTGCCTCTTGAGATTTGCCTGGCAACTTTATATTTGCATAGAGTTGACATCAATTATTTTTTTCTGTCAGCCCTTAATTAATGTTTAGTCTAATTACTAATTCAAATTGAGAAAAACACCCTTCTGAATTTCATGAATACAATGGTAGTTACTAAAAACAGAGGGGTTAATAAGGGAGAGATGAAAAACTGCCTCTAGGAAGTCTATAGTACCTTGGAAGAAAAAAAAAACAACAACACTAAACTATGTTCTTTTTTTAGACAGAGAGAGAGAGAGAGAGAGCGAGAGAGAGCGCACATGCAGGGGCAGAGGGGGAAAGAGAGAGAGAGAATGAGTCCCAACCAGTCTCCACACTGTCAATGCAGAGCCTGATGTGGGGCTGTATCCCATGAACCATGAGACCATGACCTGAGCAGCATTTGGGAGTCAGATGCTTAACCTACAGAGCCACCCAGGCTGACCTTAAAAACTAAACCCTTAGTTAAACTTTCATTTCTATATGTACAAAATTTTTAGGATAACAGGAGATGTCAGAGATTAGTTTATACCGGAGTTTCATTATAGTTGAGATTGAAGATAAATACATAATAAAAATGAAAACATTTCAGTTAACTACCATAGTATCTCCATCACCCAGCTACCTTGTTTAGTGAAAAAAAATGAGAAAGCAACTGAATGGGAGGTAGGTCACATTATTGGCCACAAATCATCTTCCTTCTCCAATGCATAAAAGGTTGTAGAGCTCTTTCACACTGGATTTGGTCTCCAGCTTCCTTTAGCAAATTGATGAGCACTGAGTGTTGTAAGTGTTGAATCACTAAATTGCACAACTGAAACTTCTATTACACTGGATGTTGACTGACTGGAATTTAAGCAAAAATTTCAAAAAAAAAATCAAAAAGAAAAAAAGAAAAGAAAAAGAATGAGTTGAAAGTGACGGTGTCCTGTTTCGTATTTGGGGCAAGATTTCCGGAGACGTGGCATATTCCTCCTTATCCTCTGCCACCGACACAAAAGGAACATGGTGGGGCTGGCTGATCCACTGATCCCAGAAAGAAGATGAGAGACACAAAGACAAGGTTGTCCCCCTTCAGGGTATACCGCCTGCTAAAGCAGAGCTACCTAGTAAATGAGCGGATGCAGGATTGAATGCATTGGGGTTAAAAGAGCTGGCAAACACAAGCCAGGCTAGTTACCTTGATCTTCAGCTAGCTCAGACACACACACACAAGAGGGCTATAAATATCTGCCCCTGAGTTTTGGAGTTTTACATTATCCAGCAACAGTTTATTAACATGAATATGAATTAAAAATATAGACAACAATCATATGTTCCAAACTATTTCTAGAACTATTTAAAGAAGAGTGTTTTCTCCTCTCCTTAAATTTCTAATACTTCCCCCTTCTTCCTTAACTTCAGCTTCAGTAACATTTCATCCAGACCTGCGGAATAAAAATGAACTGATTATGTACAAAGTACCACGGGAAGAATATTTTCAATACAAGAAAGCAAAATGCAAGTATCCAAATTAAAGAAAGAACTTGATTTGGTTAAAAAACAATGTATGTCTCACTGGATAGGCAGAAAGGATGAGAGGTATGTGGCTGGGGGTAGGATAAGCAATCCATGTACCGTATGGTGGATAGTTCTTACCTTTTTAAAAAGGCAGTGAGGGATAGATAGATAGGTGGATAGATAGATGATAGATAGATAGATACATAGATAGATAGATAGATAGATAGATAGGTAGGTAGATAGATAGATATAGATTGGTAGATATATATAGAAAGGTAGATATATAGATATATATTTTTTAGGTTTACTTATTAATTTTGAAAGAGATAGTGCACACACACATGCGCGGTGAGCAGGGGAGGGGCAGAGAGAAAGGGAGAGAGAATCCCAAGCAGGAAGCAGTCAGCAGGAGCCCAATGCAGGGCGTGATCTCACAAACCCTGAGATCATGACCTGAGCCAAAATCAAGAGCCAGACTCTCAACCGACTGAGCCACCCAGGCACCCAAAAGGGGAATTGTTAAACAAAGGATATCATGCACCTATTTATGTACTGGAAAAATCATAGTGGCTACTTCGACTCTTAGATTGCAGAAAGTTAACAATTCAGAAAAGAAATAATGTTGTCTTGGACAAAGGTGAAAAAGGGAAGAAAATGGAAAGAACTGTATAAAATAATGTTATGTATTGGGCATAGACTATAGAATTTTTATTGGAGGGGCAATGACTTACAAATGACTTGCTTTTCATGTGGTAGCGGTGGTGGTGATGGTGTGCATGTGTTTGATCTAGCATGTAATTGATAAGCCTGTTTATGGAGCTGGATAGAGGTAGGGGGGCAAATTATTCCCTTTGGGAGAAAAAGAATTTGGGAGAAATCAATGATTTTGACATGCTATGCCTTAGAAGTCAAGTAGATAAATGTGTGGAATAAAAACAGAGAATTGGATATGAGTGTGGAGTTCAAGTGTGTTTTCTGAATAGGAAATATCCATTTGAGATATATAAGCCTAAATTGAAGCCTAATTTAATCCTGGGAACAGTATAATTTCATCTGGGAGAGAACTGTAGGAGAAACGTTAAGTGAAGTAATGAGCACTACAGCACCCAAACTTTTGGGCTTAAGGCAGCCCAGCATCTGTACATGAGCAGGTGTTAGCAAAAGGAAAGGAACAGTCTAGGGGAAGAGACTAAGTGGGAATGGGTGGCACAGAAGCCAAGAAAGGAAGGTGTTTTAAGTGAACAATTAGAGTGAATTCTATTAAGAGGCCAAGTGAGGTTAGTAAGGGTTGATTGGATTTTGAAAGATGGGCATCATTAGTTAACTTGAAAAGAATATCTTCAATAAAATATAAAGTATGTTTTTTTTTAAACAGTGGACTCAAGAGGATATTGAATGTGAACATATGGAGCCCCACAGTCATGATACTTTACTGGATACCGTCATCCAAGAATAGAGATCAGAGAAAGTGCTGCCATATATCATCAGACAAGTGGTTCAATATTTTTTTTTCTTTTATTGGGGATATTAAGCACTGTCTTTGCTGAAGGTAATGATCCTTTTAAAGAGTGAAATACCTAAAATGGTAAAATTTATGAGAAGGTGAGCGGGATTGGGTTCCAGAGAACAAATACAAGGATTTCCATCGAAAGTAACAGAGACACTTCTTCCCTTTTAGCATGAGGGAAATCTCAGAAGTTTGGTAAATACATAGGATAGATGATTGTGATGGTGGAAATATTTCAAAATTCACCATAGTTTCTGGACGAGAGTATAAGTGTTGAAATACAACTCCATGCCTTTAATAGGTGTAATGTATGTAATGTAATATAACAGAATATGTAGAATTTAAGGCAAAGGTGTGAAACCTTGTAACAACCTGTGGGTAATCCTGCGCACACATTATAGAAGACTAATAGATCATGCAAATCAAAATTGTAGACCATCCTAAGAACACTAAAAGAGCCAGAATATAACCCTTGTAAACTGTGTTATCAAAGCAAGAAATAGACCATTTTGCATTGACTGTTCTAATAATAACTACATGCTAATTGAAGAAAGTTCAACATAATTAAGGCATTTAAACATGAAGAACAGGTGAAAAGCAAAACTGATTTCAGAGAAAAGGTACGAAATCCAGATGCTACAGAACAGTGGGGAAGGGTGATGTCATTGGGCTTTCCCAAAACATTAGGTCATGGTACATTGAAACTGATTTTGACTTGCATTCGCATCACAAAAAATTCTCATAATATTCTTTGTCCAGAGGCCTGATGCTGAGGATGAGGGCTGGATTGCTTAGAAGTGAGAAGTCTTGTCACGGGAAAGGAATACGTTTTTTTTTAATGTAATCGGTTGGAAATCTGGGTTATTACATCATCTAAAGTTAGTTGTCATTAACCTGTCTTGAAGATACTTTCCATGTTTAGATACCCTAAAAACAGTGATTTCTGTATTGGAAAGTCAGACCTAAAATTAAAACGTATTCAATTGCAAAGTTTTCTGCAAAGCTCAGATTACATTGTTATCAACACATCCCTATGAAATATGGGAGAACATGCCCCATCTTAGAAATCTGATCACTTCAGGGGCACCTGAGTGGCTCAGTCGGTTAAGCATCTGACTTGGGCTCAGGTCATGATCTCACCGTTCGTGGGTTTGAGCCCCGTGTCAGGCTCTGTGCTGACAGCTCGGAGCCTGGAGCCTGCTTTAGATTCTGTGTCTCCCTCTCCCTCTACCCCTCCCCTGTCCACGTTCTGACTCTCTCTGACTTTCTAAATTTTTTTTTTTTCAACGTTTATTTATTTTTGGGACAGAGAGAGACAGAGCATGAATGGGGGAGGGGCAGAGTGAGAGGGAGACACAGAATCAGAAACAGGCTCCAGGCTCTGAGCCATCAGCCCAGAGCCTGACGCGGGGCTCGAACTCACGGACCGTGAGATCGTGACCTGGCTGAAGTCGGACTCTCTGACTTTCAATAAGTAAACATTAAAAAACAATTACAAAAACAAAAAAAAAAACAAACCAAAAAAAATGAAATCTGATCACTTCAGAACTGAGCCGTCAGTCTGGGGAAAAAAAAATTGGATTTCTGTTTCTAAGCTAAATTAAGACTATAAAATGCATTGTCTCAGGATAATCTGTTCTCTTTTAGGTACCTCACACAGAGCTTTGTAATGTAAATGCTAGCATTAGTGATTAAATACTTTCAGAATAAATATGCCCTTTAGCTGAATTAAATATATACATAAATATATTTAAATATATATATATATACACACATATAAATATACATACATTTATATATATAAATATATATAAATAAACATACATATATACATATATTTATATATAT